TTTTTTTTTTTTTCTTCTGTACAACCATATGTGCTTCGTTTTTCTTCCTTCAAAATTTCATCCATTTAATTTTCAAGAAACTTTTGTTTCAACATCATTATCGCGGTAGGAACGAAAGATAAAAGCATAAAAGTAATAAACAAAATGAAGTTTTCATTCTTTTCGTCAGAAATCTGTTTCTTCATCAAACTTTCTCATCGATCAGTGAGTTACAGCAGAAATTGCTTAATATAAATTATTTTGTCTTCCAATACACACACACACACACACACACACAAACACGTACAAATAAAAAAATAAAAAATAAAAGACAAATAGATAGATAAACGAATATTTGGTTATGTATTTATATACAATAAATTTTTATCCAATAAACAGTTAAGCACTTAATACATTACAGCATAAGATTAATCTGTTGCCTGCAGTAGTCTGACCGCAACTGAAACCATATACTTGTCAACTGCTTCTGCATCCATTTTCATCCGGTTTTGTCCTCACCGTCCTCACTCCTACTCATTTTCTCGACAGTTGATTAATCGATACGAATATAATAAGATATTTAGCGTCCTACATTCAAACAACAACAACAACAACTACTAAGATAAACAATTAGGGTGCTATTTGTCCACTATCAATGAAACATGACCTCTTAGCAGGTTGTTGTCAAAGTACTGCATGCTGTTTAGCAAAAAAACTAACTGTTCTAAGATGCCAAAAAAAGACGTCTTTTTGAAGCATTGATAATGTCGTGAGCCAAAAAATGGCCATATTTTATAATAGAAGACATTTAAAAATAAATTTAAATATAACAAATGCTAAAAAGTTACTGAAAAGAAAAAAATAATCCAATGCTAAAGTAATTCGTGCAGGAAATAATAGATCAGAATAATAACAAAAATGAAAAGATATAACAAGACGATATATATATATATATATATATATATATATATATATATACGTATATATATATATATATATATATATATATATATATATACATGCGCATATTTAGATTTATATAGTTGTGTCTTTTTTTTCCCCTCTGGTGTGTATGTATGTGTTTATATAGGTGGATCAAATTACAAAGCTCATGCTTTTTCCCATTCTCATGTTTCTGCTGGGCATCATCACACCAAGTATTTTCCGAGCACTCTGTTAAGTAACCTAAAAGAAACCAAAGACTACAAGAAGATCAAAAGATATTACATCTCGGCGGCTATTCATCTTTAATTCAACGACTGGCGAGTGTTTATTAAACAGCATAAAAATCAACGTAAAGCAATACGAAACGACATTAAGCGTGTTAACAAGTTTTCTTCCGAAAAAAAATTAGGAAGCACAGCCATCCTACACATTGATACTGCTGATCACCAAATAAAAAAAAAGTGTAACTTATGACAACAAATTGATTACAGAAATGATACATTAAAGCAGAAAAAAAAAAAAAGCAAATAAATAAAAAAAAA